GTTGTCGCATTATCAACTACCGTATTGTTATAATAAAATATTATAATATTGTTATCCAATAATAAAACAAACGCCCCAACAACGATTATAATATTTTACTACTCTATATACAACACGTCRATCACATTGTTATACGCTGTTGTTGTTGTTATTTCAGACCAATGGCGAACTCCAGATGCTGTTTCGGGTGTTCTAACGTGCGCAAGGGTGCTTGGGTGATATCAATTTTCGACATGGTGAGTAACGAGAAATATTATTTGTAACATCATTAGCATAGTTGCTTCTTACACTGCTTGTATACAATTTTCGTAGCCGAAACATTTTTTTATAATATTATGACGGAGGTAGTTTGTTACTTTTTCCTAACATGAATGCTCACCGTCCATCGGTCAGCATCTAGTTAATGACAATAAGCTACAGGATATTTTATCCTTATTTTAAATTACTGTTGTCTATTAAGCGTGTAGGTATATTTTGAACATATTACATAATATATGAAATGCCGGTTGATGCATACTTACATTAAGACATACATACTATACTATACTAACGTATTATCTTGGAAAATACACACCTATAGTCCTGCGAATAAATAACCGTATATAAATGAGTAATGGCAGCCGGTTTTGGTTATGGATACTTTTTGTCTTTTGCATGGGGGTTATTATATTTGTAGCTAACTTTTTTTTTTGCTGCATCTGAAATTTAACTAAATCATGCAGATACTGACGGCTAAATCACATTAATTGCATTAAATTCCAGTATGCTCAACGAATCGAATAAAAACGAGTGTTTAAGACGTCAGTGGCGTGCCTATATTCTATGAGTAGGTTTTTTGGCGCAATTACCTCAAACAATAAATGTACGTGAGTACCGGATAGTGGATTTAGTATGCGATTAAAAGTTTTGATTAATAATATTTTTTATTATTAATTWAAAAAAATCTATCCTAAAGCTGTCGATGATTGATTAAATKATATATAATATAGTTTTCATAAGGGGGAAATTTTTATAGCACGTCATTACGTGGGGATATAATATATTTATAGGTTGTACATGAYGTCGACTATTAGAAGTAGGTATTCGTTTTCAGTCAAAATTTAAATTTAGACTGCTGTACTTTCCACATTGATTGCAAAAATTAATTTTTGGTGGTTATTCAGTATTTCAGTACCTAATCCT